GAAATACAAACATCACTTTTTCTCTGAGGATTAAACCAGACATCACCATCTCCTAGCATCAGCTCTACACCTGTGTACATCCTCTGCCACCACAACAGCAAACTGTGAGTGAATCATTAAATTCACATATATAATCCAAGTGATGCAGCTGAACAACACAGAAAAACTGCAAGCACTAGATGGATGCCCAACCTTTTCATACAAAGAGAAAAAGAGCAGTTGGGGGAAGTGTCTGAGAGACACACGACTCAAGCGGTAAACAGGAAACGGATGAGATAATGATGAAAATGAAGATTGGCGGGCATTATACAGGCCTACCCTTTCTCTCTGTCCTCTCTCTTTAACATACAGGAGATCTTTATGTAACTGCAGCAGCCCAAGTGGCAGTGAAGGATGGAGGCGCAGGTTGCATAACACAGCTGTCTCTCATGCAAACAGCATGTTCTCTGAGGTTATGAGCATGTGCTCTATTCATGTCTCCGTGTGGGGCTGTATTTGCATATTGATAGGCTCCTTTTAATTTCCATCCTTGCTTTATGGTTCCAAACGGGCTGTTGCTTTTTGAAAGCAGAGAGACAAACATCACATAACAGCGCTGACAGGTCATCAATGAGATTATAACAACAGTTAAAGGGACAGTTCACCCAAAAAATGAAAATTAATTCCAGACCTGTATTGTATGGGGGGAAAAAAATTCTCAACATACCAAAATATCTTCTTTTATTTTTCACAAAAGAAACATGAGGGTGAGTAAATTATGACATTTACATTTTTGGGTTAATTCTCCCATTAACACAAAAATTAACATTCTCTTATTATTTACTCTGTTAATATTTAATATCTACTCGTTCTGAACCCAAATGCTGTTATTTTTTTCCCCATATACCAACATTTCATAATGATCAAGCTCCAAAAACACTAAGAAAGTGGTCCATATGACTCAAACGCAATATTCCAAGCCTTTTGTCATTATATGGAAAAAAAAGTTGTATAAAGGCTTCTATGTCACAAGGAACATAAGAATAAATAATTTTTGAGTGAACCATTTCTTTAAGCTTGAACTGGTAACCTTAATTTAATATACAAGCTTTAGTCTATTATATAAAGTAAATGCATTCTGGAACACAGCCTGTATTCATTATTAATGAGAAAACTGTGGCGGGTCTTCAAGACAGCCCACATGAGGGCTGTGCCAAGCTCTACCTAGACATTTATCATCAAGGAGGAACTTTAGACCTCATTGGAGTCTAACTGAATTGATTTCTACTGCACACGCTGCCAAACGATTGCCAGTGTCAAGAAAATCCAATCAACACAGTCACAAGAATGAAAAAGAACAGCCTTCTGACTCTCAAATATCCATCGTAAATCTTCCAGACAGGAGCGTCCACAGACACACTGCCAAGTTCCTACGCATGCTCTCCGCCAAACCAGGATTCTGTGGCGGTAATTAAACACCTTGATCGCCTAGTGCTTCATCACACCCAGCGTCTCTCTCGCTCTAGTCATGGGTTTTCACTGTACGTTGTTCTGAAGTCTGACCAAGCCCACACTAAACCCAAAATTTACAATGCACTGATCTCAAATCAACATAACAGTGCACCTAAAAATACAAATTGCCATAATTTGCTCATCCTTGTGTCTTTCAAAGCCAGTAAGACTTTCCTTCTTCTGTTAAACACAGCTGTCAAACAAGGAATCGTTCACACAAAAATGAAAATTTGCTGAACATTTACTCCCTCTCAAGCCATCCAAGATGTAGATGAGTTTGTTTCTTCATCAGAATAGATTTAGAGATATTTAGCATTACATCACTTGCTCATTATTGGATCCTCTGCAGTGAATGTGTGCCGTCAGAATGAGAGTCCAAACAGCTGATAAAAACATCACAATACGTTTAGAACTGTTTTGGACTGTTTCCACTTGTAAACACTGCTTTGTCTGTGCATATTTCTCTCTTTCCACTGAAGAAAGCAATATTATGGACAGAGAACATTGTATTTTAGCCGGAAGCAATGGTTTAAAGCTTAAAAACGTCTTAAGGATGGGTTTGTTTATTACAAACACACAGCTTCACAAGACATTAATTGATGGACTGGAGTTGTGTGGATTACTTGTGGATTATTGTGATGTTTTAATCAGCTGTTTGGACTTTCATTTTGACGGCACCCATTCACTGCAGAGGATCCATTGGTGAGCAAGTGATATAATGCTGAATTTATCCAAATCTGTTCAAATGAAGAAACAAACTCATTTACATATTAGATGGCCTGAAGGTAAGTACATTTTCAGCAAATTTTCATTTTTGGCTGATCTATTCCTTTAAATTTTAGCCTGAATTAAAATTTTAGTTACTTTTTAATATTTAGTTAAACATTAGTCTACATATAAACCTGTCATTTGACTTTATAAAGCTTGGAAAAACAGCACACAAATTATATGTAATGCTTTTAGGTTGCTTTTTTGAGCTTGACAGTCTTTGGTGCCCATCGACTTCTATTGTTTTCTGTAAATATTCTTCTCCTTTGGTGTTCCACAGCAGAAAGAAAGTCATACTGGTTTGGAAAAACATGAAAGAGAGAGTAAACAATGACAACATTTTAATTTTTGGATGAACTATCCGTTTAAGCAAATAGATTTAGGCAACAGACGAAACTCTAAAGCTAAAAGACACCACAAACAAATTTGTTTGGTAGGTGGTTTAATGAATGCAATCATCCCATCTCTTAACATGCCGAAATCATAAAATTTCCCTTGTCACAACTCTTTGTGGTGATTTACAATGAACTTTAGCTCCACGTCACTGCATTTCAACCGATGACTTGTCTTAGTCAATGTTGTCTTAGTCAATGTTGACTGAGTAAGCATCGACACAGACCAGTGCTTTCCCAAGAAGTCGAGCCATAAGCTTGAACAAAGTGAGCATGTTTGTTAGTTAGTTAGTCTCTAGAAGAACCGGCAGGTCCACTGCTTTTAAACAAACCACTGAGCAAACAGTAATCAGATCACCAACATTACGACTGAAAGACCTTCTGTAGACTGTCCAAAAGCATGTTTCTTGCCACCTGAAATATTCACGAGGGGACAAGGAGTTTCAGGACATGTCTTTGTTGGATACGAATGAGAAATAATGATGCAAGCGCAACAAAAGAAGATGCATATGGCTGTCAACTGAAACGGATATTGATGATGAGCACATCACAATGGCAGATAAATGAAATTATACCCTGGAAAGGAGCTGTACTCCCAGTGGAATAGTGCTGGGTGGGTGGGAATGGTTAGCCAGGAGGGCCCCCCCCCCCCCCAGCATCAATACAACCAACTCAGTCAGTAGGAGGAAAGTGGAGGCAGTTGAAATGGTCTGCGGTGGAAACCCAATAAACACTGAGGCTGATTGTGAAGGGTTTAATACAGAAATACAACTTACCACCAAATTGTACAGCTACAGTTGTGTTGCTGGGTTTTAAAGCCGGTTTGATTTTTCGTTCTTTCTTATCACTCTGTATTTACAGGATTTCACTGTCCACTCTGTTCAAATGTGGATGAATGGCTACACATAGATGTGTCCAGAGCTGTGTGAGATCACTACCATCCTGCTTTTGTGGGGGTGGGTAGGGGTGTTAATTTTTTTCCCCATAGGTTTTTAACATTCTAAAAGCTCTTTATTCCAAAGATACTACAAGCTAGTCAGTGTATTCAGTAGGTGTAATGTATTGTAAGTTGCTTCAGAGGTATTGCAAGTATTACGTAAAACAATAAAACAGTGCATTGACATAAAAAAGGAAATTTACTTTTGGTACTTAAGTACTTCTAAAAGCAAGTACTTCTGTACTTTTACTTGTAATGGAGTAATATTTGACAAGCAGTATCTGTACTTTCACTCAAGTAATGGAGTTGAGTACTTTGTCCGCCTCTGGTAACTACACAAACAATTATGAGAAACTACACAACCAAATATGAAACGTTAACAGATTGACAATGAAATGACTTTTATAAACAAATTAATAAATGTGAAAGCATGAACAGAGACGGTATACACATAACAAGGATATTTTTAAACAGGCTCCTGAAAACATTTAGATATCATTAAACTTAAAATAAAGAGCTGTCCTAATTTTGACTAAGAATTCAAAACTCACATGTGGCTCTATGGTGCATTTTCTCTTGGCGTTGTGATGCGTGTATATTCTCAGTTGTTTGTCAGACAGGTTGATGCATGACCCATTTCTGCTTTTTCACACCAGCTTTAGGAAATGAGTCTTTTAGAAACACATGCAAGTGGGCGTGTGTGGTTAGGAGAAAAATCATTTAGTTAGCTACCACCAGTAACTATGACAGCTTTTTTCCAAATAATTCATAAATGGTATTTTTATGTGTTTACATTAGAGTTATGTATTATTAACATTCGTAAGAGATTCTAAAAAATATACACCATTCAGGACAAAATAATTTTGTGAAGCCACCTGGTGGTTGTTTTTAGAATAATCAGTTGAAGCAGTCAATGTTTTGAATTGAAATGAGTTAAATAAAACAGATTAAGAATTTAAACTAAAGGAACGCCCTCAGTTTATTGAAAAGATTTGCCTTTTTACACATATTACTTAAAACATCCAACTTATACAGCAACAAATGTAACTCCCTTCCTGAACTTTAAAGTTAGTTGCTTCTGAGAGATTTGAAAAAAATAAATAAAATTGAGGAAGTAAACAAAACCAACATTTTCAACATCCAAACCAGTTTCATTACCACACTTTGTTTAAAAATCTCTTGACAAGTGAAAGAATTTGCATGATTTTTCAGCATGCAGAGAGATGGAGAGGTCTGTGTGTAATAATACACTTGGAAATAAATGTAGATTTATTAGTAATAAGGGCCATATAAGAAGCTGACCCTTGTTTATTTCCAACTATTGCAGGAGTGTGAGTGACTCCTACTCTGTTATATACAGTAGATGCTGGGTGACACACACAGATCAAGTCCACAGTTTCAGAATAGATTAATTATCTCAGTCCCAACTTCTTTTTCTCCTTCTGTTTCTTACGCACGACCTCCAGATTGCGATCTTTCCATGAACTCTTTCTCAGTTTGATGGGTCTGCTTCCCACGTACCTCCCTAAAATCAAAGACAAATTAATGTGTTTAGAGCATGATGACCATTAAAAAAAAAATCGTTTTGATACAGTATCATCTCAAAATAAAGCTAATTTTCACCAGTATTCAGACACACACACACACACACACACACACACACACATATATATATATATATATATATATATATATATATACACATATACATATATATATATATATATATATACACACACACAAAAGCATTTTTTTGCATTCTATATTTTTGTCAAATAAAATGTTAAAAACACACTGACATTCAAAAGTTTGTATTTTTTGATGTTTTTGAAAGTTTCTTATGCTCAGCAAGGCTACATTTATTTTATCCAAAATACAATAAAAACAGTACTATTATGAAATTATTTGTGAAAACTATTTTCTTTTCTTTTATATTCAAATGTAATTTATTCCTGTGATGCAAAGCTGAATTTTTAGCAGTCATTATTCCTCAGTATTACATGATCCTGAAGAAATCATTCTAATATTCAGATTTGGTGCTTAAGAAACACTTTTATTATTATCAATGTTGAAAACAGTTGTGCTGCTTAATATTTTTTGAGGAAACCATGATACATTTTGTTCTTTCGGGATTCTTTGATCAATACAAAATTCAAAAGAACAGCATTTATTTGGAATAGAAATCGTTTGTAACATTAGTAATGTTTTTACTGACACTTTTGACCCATTTAATGCATCTTTGCTGAATAAAAGTATTCATTTAAAACATAAAATTACCAACAAAATAAATGAACATCTGAACAGTATGTATATGCTAATTTAATGAACTGTATTTGTATGTATTGATCTAAACAGCCATTCATTATTATCCTCATTAACTCACCGTTCATTTCTCTCATGGCGCGCACATAATCATTGGGATCTTTAAAGCTCACGAAGCCGTAACCCTTCGTTTTCCCAGTGCGTTTGTCTCGAACAACCTTCGCCTTCAGGAAGGATGGATAACGGCTAAACGCTCTCGCCAGAATGTCATCATTCACCTCATTCCCCAGATCGCCACAAAATATCCGGAAATCATCTAAGAAACCATGAACGGCGATAATTTAATTTCTATATGTGCTTGGCTCCTTTTTAAAGAAAAGTAAACTTTTTATGAAATTTACTAAATGTCCGCAAACCTGATTCCCACTCTAATAGGCTGGTGTCCTCCCATGAGACACCTGCTGCTACCCGGATGCATTTCTTCACCTTTTCCTGTTTCCCTTTCTTCTTATCTTCTGTGCTAGTATCAGCAGGCTATGCACATGTGAATAAGAAATAATTAGAACAAAATTAATATCAAGAATTCCTATAAAGAGCTTTCATTTTTAAATGAACTTTCTTTATCCAGTGTTGTAACTGTTAAATAAAACTATTAAAAATTGTTTTCATTAATAAGGCTGAAATAAAATAGAATATAAATATAAGGTGCAAGAATTAAACCTAAATGAAACTTAAATGAAAATTTGAAATGCTGCTTTGGCAAGTCTGAATTTGAGTTGAAGTGCTAAAACTATGAAAACTAAAATAAATTAAAGTTAAATATAAATACTTAAAGGCACAATATGTAATTTTTCGCCGCTAGAGGGCGCATATTCAAAATAAACAAAGAGACAAAGGCGTAGTTTGATGACGCCGTGACTGAGTGTGGAATCATGGGATTTGTGGTCTTCATCCCCACTAGTGGTTTTTGGATATTTTAATTAAAAAATCTTACATATTGTGCTTTTAAATTAAAATGGAAAAAAGCACAAACTAAAAGCGAAAATATAAAATACAAGCCAATTTTAAATAGTAATAAATATTATAATAGTATTAAAATGACTAAAACAACCCTGTTTTTATCTTTTCCTCCAAGAGCTGATTTATATTCTTTCATTATGCAAAATGCGTAATTTTTGTAATGTGTAATTTCTGCATCATTAGATATTGCATCAGATATTGCTTATCCAATGGAATGAATTTAGGGCAGGACTATCTCTTTGTCTAAACAGGGAATGTGTTTGAAAATTGCTGCTCATTATGATACAATTCTTTTTGGTGCCACTAGTTGTGCAGAACATAACCTTTTATAACCTGTTCAAATATATGTTAAAATAAGTTTAAAATTTCATTTTGAATCATATTAAACCTCCACATGTGTAGGCTCAGGCTCCGGCTTGCTCGGCCCGATTACGCTGTCATCTGTGACCGCCTCCTTCTTTGAGTCCAGCAGCCCAGCTGCCATGACTGTGGCCTGCTGCTCCGCCACCAATGCTGACAACTCCTCCTGAGAAAAAGATGGAGAGAAAAGATTTATACGATCAGGAACACATTACAACGGAAGCACAAGACGCTTAAAGGGGACATGATGAACTGAGAAATCAAATTTTCCTTGATGTTTTGACATGTAAGAGGTCATTGTACTATAATAACATCCGGTAAGTTTCAGCTCGAAACTTCCTTGTTAGTGCAAAAACAGCTTTTATTGAAACCAAGATCAGAAAACGACTCATTTCAGATTTGATCACATTATGACATCATAGTGTGACGAAAGCCCGCCTCTGCAGAATCAGCTCAATGCCTACTTCTACATCGCCTGAAGCATTAGTGAGATTAGTGAGTACAGAATCACTGGACTAAAAATAAATGACCTTCCAAAGGATCCTAATCCTAGGAAAGTGCTTATTTATTTTCCACTATGTGGATGTCTCAGTAGAGCATTATTTGTTTGTTTGGTACATTTCACTGTGGATTCTTAGGTAAATCAGTCATAGTTTCGGCGCATGCTTTGCAAACAGACTTTTACTGTAAGAAATGGACCTGACAGTAATACCACAACATGTAGTAACCGTATTAATTCTAATGCCTAATCTGCGCTCAGTGTTTTCTGATATGTAATGATTCGTGTACAGTCAGATGCTCTTTGTCTCAAATTAATTTATTGCCGTTTATGCGTCAGTAAATCGAGCCAGTGACTTAACGGTCGACTAGTCATTGCTTCTCTCAGTTACTTAAATTGTGATTAAATTATATACAGAAAGTGATCAAAGAATACCCCTTTATAATTGCTGGAGATGTCAATCACACAGCACAAATTTATATAAATCAGAGGGCTAAAATCAGAATAGAAAATGTCCTTTAATTTCTAAATTATGACCATTTTTGATGTAAAAATCATACTAACATTACAATTGCACCTCAAGAAACATTATCAAATAATTTAAAAATGCAGTTCATGATGACCCCTTTAAAATTTCGCACAAACACACATTATAGTTTTTATTATTTTTACTCATGTGTTTTTTTTTTTGTATATTTAATCATGTGGTGCTTTGATAATAACTGTCAAAATGGATGTAATGGAAATGGTGAACAGGTCATACAATACGTTGATACTTTACCATGCGTGCTTGTTTCTGGCTCTTGAGGTCAGTTCTCTTAGGCGCAGGAGGTGCTGTGTAAACAGTGGGGGCTGCCTGTATAACACTGGGACTGATCTTCGGAGGGTCTTGAGCCATGGGCCGCGGTGGTGCCGAAGTCATAGGGTTCATGCTTCCAACCTGCCAATAATTGAGAAAAACATTTGAGATACAGACGTGACAGTTTTTACAGTACAAGGCAACCTTGAAATGATTACAATACTCTGACAGCTGACTACAATTCAGAAAATACCCACTGGCGGCATGGGTCCCATGGGTGGTCCAACTGGAGCCATTGGGGGCTGAGGGGGCCCTGACATAGGAGGAGCCATCATCATGGGTGGAGGAGGTGGAGGTCTGGGAAGAGGAGGTGCTATCATGCCCTGAGGATGTGGACCACGCATCATTGGCATTCTCTGACCTCCTGGGGGGACATTACAAATATGCATAATAATATTTTAGGCTCTATAATGATATGTAAAATGTATTTAAAAAATACTGAAGAAATATTTAAAATATGTGTTATGTAGTATGCATTTTTATAAAAAAAAAAATAAAAAAAATAATTTATTTGTTTCCACATAAGCAGAATACATCATAGAATTACAGATACCATTGATTCATATTATACCTATATAATAATGTAACCATTAATGCATAAATGATCAAAAGTTTTGAAGAATATATATGAATGAATCTGATTACCTGGTCTCTGTAAGACGTGCGGAACAAATGCTGGACGCATCATTGGAGGAGGCGCTACTGCCGGTATAGCAACAGATAAATATCAGATGATTGCCAGCTGATTTCTATTTAGAATTTTGTCTTGAAGTGTGTGATGAAAAAAGGATTTATATAGATGTACCAGGACCAACAAATGTAGGTGGCGGACCAACTAAAGTGGCAGCTCTTGCCTCCAAACTCTGCTGGATCTACAAAAAAAATTAAAAATAAAAACAATAAACAAGCTTGTAATATAAGCAAATGATGAATGCTTTAAGCAATATATATTTATTTTTCATTTAAAACTGTATTTTGGGATTCTGGGGAGAAAAATCAAATATTTTTTTAAAGGGGTCATATGATGCTGCTAAAAAGAACATTGATTCCGTCTGTGTTAAACCGAGCTTAACTGTCTAGTTTACAGTAATAAATACTGTCTGAATCGATTAATTTTTAGCAAACGATCGGGAAATAATGTTCAGATGCCACATGATTCTTTTTTAAAGCTCCAGACTGAATTAAACTTAAATTAAATTATATTTAAATTAAAGCCCCGCTACAGTAAGCTAGTTTTAAATAAATATATACTCGCCGTGAAGTGTGTCCTGGTGAAGAAATTCAAGCAAATATGCGGGAATAAAATAAAAAGACAGATGAACGTAAGAGGATCATTTGTTTTCCTCAACGTTATCGCTTGTCTAGGCGCGGAAGAAACACGTCATGAGTCTTTGCTCCTTCTTCATCGATGGAGCGGGAATCGCATTCGGAAGGGCTCATCCCTATGCCCTAATCCCTTCAAAGGGTTTACCCTCCGGAGTGAGATCTTCGAAGGGTTGAAGGGTGTAGGGCACCAAACAACTGTTTCTTGAAGTGCCCTTCTGCGTCATCATCACATGCCCACACGGAGGCGCCGTCATCATGCAAAGAATCTGTGCAAAGGATCATGGGAGCCAAAACTTTTCTAAAAGAATGTAAGGCTGTGTCCGAAATCGCCCCCTATACCCTCATTCACTATTCCCTACATTAGGTCACTAATTCAGTTCACTAGAAGGAGCGAGTAGTGAATTCGGACACTGAGTGCACCGGAAAGAATGCCGCTTTTGCATAGTTTGTGCTTGCTGTTTATTAATCATTTGAAACTAGCAAACTAGCAGCTCCGGTAGTAAGATTAAAGGATTGATCTTGAACTCTATCACGGAAATTATGTATAAACCCTAATCAAACAATGTAATAATCAATTTACAATGAATTTATACCCGTGTTGTACATTATGCTGTACGCCATGGATGAGCACTTTGTAAAAATGAACGGATTGATTATTCAGCTGCGGGCGCCGTTTAAATTTATATCTACATTTGCCATAGGAAATAACCATGGTGGGAATATTCCTAATGCTACAGACGGTGCTAACACTATTTTCGATCATTTATATTTATCCACTTCACCTTTTATTGTCCACCCAAAACCCCTTCCTGGATTTATTTTATATTCCCAACAGTCTTCAAGTATTCTCTTAGTTTGATGTTCTTGTTTACTACGTTCCAATCTACTCCAATATGCCAGAGATATGTTGTTTCTTTTTATATCTAGTGGTATGTTTTAGGTCTCTGGTATCACTTTGTGAAAAATACATAAAACCGGAAAAAACTCCAAAACACTATTGCTCAATTTGCATTAGTCACTGTGGTACAGGAGAATTATTATTATTATTATTTAGACCAGACGACAAAGTAGGCCTATAGTTATAAAATATTGACTATATTTAATACTAACTAATACTAGTGAACACCAATTGTATCATTAATTATTATATTCTTTAGCCATATATTACTACACTCTAAAAAATGCTGGGTTAAATATAACCCAGCGCTGGGTTAAAAAGGGACAAA